TGGCAAAAACCTTTATGGCAATCAAGCTTCACCGAGACAATGGTCTGATTCGGAGTCGGCCGTTGATCATGGTGAAAGTAGAGAAAGATTGACTGTAAAAGGCAAGGAGAAAAGTAGTTGCTTCAAATGTGGCAAATTAGGGCATAAAGCGAAACAGTGCGCACTGCAGAATGCCACAAAGGACAACGTAAGAAGAAATGAAGAACACAAGGCATCTTCGTTCTCCACTGCTCTTGATAGGTGGTTATGCGCTACCACAGGTGTCAGAAAGAATGCTGAAGAATTTGTCGGTAAGAAGGTAGCTGTGCCGGCAAAAGTAATGAATATGGAAGTAAACGCACTTATAGACACTGGATCCGAGGTATCTATAGCATCATTAAAGCTGTTCACGAGGGCCAAGGAAGCTGGATTCGATCTAGATGCTTATGTGGAGAGAATCTCAGGAGTAGTATCTAATGCTGTAATACGCGACGCTTCTGGGAACAGAATAGAGGTCTTGGACGCAATCAAGATGCCTGTGGAATTGTTTGGCAAATCCAAGAAGATTCCGGTATATGTCGCCAGATCGTTAGAAAATGAGCTGATCTTGGGGACAAATGTTCTATGCAATTTTGGTGTCAAAGTGATTCGAAGTGATACCAATAGAGACTTGCTCAGGTATTCAGTCAGAGATCCCTCGAATGTAGTGAAAGATCGGAGTGATAGACTACTTGGAGGAAACAAGACAAAGCCAAAAGTAGGAAGGAGATTTTTAAAAGGCCTAAAAAGAAAAGAAGAAACAAGGCGCACAAAGCGCAGAAAGATGAGGCAAGATTCCAAGAATCAAAGCGGAATCTTGGACGAACCACTGACCGATATGAAGCAATCGACAAAAGCTGTGAAGATGCGCATGCTGAAAAAGAAACAGCCAAAGAATAGATCATCAGTCGATGTCAAACGGATAAGCGTGGAACAGCAAGATGAAGGTGATCCCAACGCATCAACAAACAAGAATGTTGAGAAACTCAAGAATGTCAATGCGAAGCGGTATGGGAAAGTGTGCAGATGTACCGGATACCCTCGCGCATTTTGGGATTTTGTTGAAATGGTCGACTATGTCAGAGCACATCCCTGCCGAACTAGTCGCACAAGTGGAAAGACACAACAAAATCAAACAGAAAGGAGTGAACACTTGTTGCGGTGTCAGAAATTTGGAAGAAGATCGCTTGGACATGGATCGCATGGACAAGGATCGCATGGACAAGGATCGCATGGACAAGGATCGCATGCACAAGGATCGCTTGGACAAGAACCGTGTGGACAACGACCACAAGGAAAAACAAGGAAGAAGAAATCAAGATTCTAACCGTGTTGTCATTTTTGTAGGTATACGGTAGTATTGTGTTTGCTTTATATTTGTGTTGTTACTGTGTATTAATGTTGAGTTTTTTTTCCAATTCTGGGGCTAGGTTAGGTGTTGTTAAGTGTCGGGACGCCACTTACGATAAGGGGGGACGTGTAGCCTCCAGGCGCCCGGCCTAGGTTTTTTGTCACACTATTAGTCTTGAACCCAACCCATGGGATGTACGAAGCACCATATCTGTCGTATGTGTCGGTTCTGAGATGTCTAGTTCGTTCCTCAACAGTCCCTCAATAGCTCCTCAACAGTTCCTCTATTCACTGTTCTGTATTAGCTCTTCTGCACTACTCTTATTCTCTGTATTTGTATATCAGCTTCTTTTGTGATTTGTCATATTACTGATAAACCATTATATTTTACCATTTGTTCTGCTAAGTCAGTGGAACCTGCGGTCTAGACCGTCCTACCGCCACTGTTTCCTGATATACAGCTCATTCCAAATAGCCACTTCGACCGATCATCCTTCCCTTGTTAGAACATTATTCGGACCGTCACTGTTTTGTCAGTGTTTCATTCAAACAGACTATACGAGACTTAACGCTGATCGTGTTTGTCCTGTCATGCTGGGGATAGGATTCGCCGGGGACGGTAAGATTTCTTTAGCTCTGACTTTGCAAACGTTGGACTTTATAAAATCTTTCAATTCACGGATTCTTCGGGAAATCGTAGGGGCTTTCAGTAATACGGTACACTAGCACACTATTATACTGTGGAACAAAATAGGTAGATGCAACGCACTCTCGTCCCTCTTACCGTCCGCTATCTCTTCCCTACCACAACTAGATATCTTGATCAGAGCAAAACATCCAGTCTTTGAGTGTGATTCGCCTATACTATCACGCTGTATGATGCGGATTTTTTGGGAAAACCGCATTTCCGAATTTAACCTAATTTACGATGGCACGGTCAAAGTGAATGCGTTCTTTAACTGATTCCAATGACCCCTTAGACATTCCATAAAACGAAAAATCTTGTTTTGACGGCAGAGGGGAGGATCCGTCACACATGAACGCGTTTTCATGAATGGTCTTACTTTCTTCCATAACATTGTGATGTAGTAAATCAACCTTGCGACTTGTCGATGAAGATTTATACTTGGTGGACGCTCCCCGCGGAATTCAAAGAAAGTGGTTTGCATGAGCTATAAAATTGTGCAAATAACTTGTTCTTACTTGTAAATAATCAAATTTTTTTGGTTTTTTGGAAATCAGCAAAAATTCTCTAGGGATATGATTGCAGCCATCGGTGTTATAGACCGCAAAAATTGTGGGCTTTCCACAAAATTTTTTATGGGCGTGGCTATCGCCACATCTCTCCATTCGAAAAATTCCTGTCGCGCCTCTCATTGGGAAAAAATTTTCTTGGACGCCAATGATAAATACATAGTTTTGATTCGGAAAATTATTTCGGCGTAGTGCTCTTGAGTTTGAGACATAGAAATAGCAAATCGGCACATAGAAATAGCCATAGGGCAAATAAGCATTCGATGAAATTTTTTCTCAGATGTGCAAGTGTTGCTGACACCGCAGGAGGACTAGAGAAGCGAACTCCACCAGGGGGCGCCACTTGCGCGGACTACTGTTCCTTTACACGTGTTGAGCCTTATCGTATTAGGACTAGTAGTTCGCGGAGACGGCGCCAACTGGCGGAGTTCGTTCTCTTACCCTCGCAGGGGCAGTATTCCAACTTTCTATTCAAAAGCAACTCTTCCAACGTATTGTCAGACATTTGTAACTTGAAACGCGTATTGCACAACATGCGCGCTACTTCACGACTTCTTCAATTAAAGTCTGTTGGTTTCGAAGGACTCCTCCTTGCTTTCTTTTCTCTTTTAGCACAATGGGATGAATATGATACATAATAATACAAAAGTTCGCAGTTTGTTTCGGCAGATAAGCTTTTACTGTCAAGTTTAGTAAGACGTCGTCGATTGCCCCGCGCAGTCTGCAGCCTCGTATCAAGTAAATGACTCGCGCATAACTGCTCATCGATCATCTTTAAGACCCCGTCATTGGCTTCTCGAACCCGATTCAGGTGAGGCGACCCGGGTAACAATGTGCCATCCACCGACACAAACATAACTCACCTTCGCCACACTCCTCTTCCCTGCAATTAGCGTCTCAGTCGTCGCGCGACACACGACAATCGTGCCGAACGTGCCGAGGCGGGCGCAGGCGGGGTCAGAGTGTAGCAATATAGCTACTCTCTACGTACGGTCTACGCGTACGCGCAACACAGCTACGGCATACTTCGTCAAGAGCGCAAGGTCGTTGTCGCGTGTAGTCATCAAGCGGCAGCTGCTCGTCCTTAGCCGTCGTCGTTTATACTTCGAAACTGCTGTGCGAGTTTTTCGCCGATGAAGAGCGGTAGTGTGATTTTTCTGCTCTGGATGTACTGCACACAGTGTTCTGCGAATTACGTCACTGGTGATGTGGCTGATATTCGAGGTAAAATTTCATTGTCGTTTATAGTTTGGTTTTTGCGCGTAAGATAAACTGCGTGGTGTGTGCAGTCCGCAACTGCACGGTTCTACACGTATTAACTCATTAATCTCGGCATCTCCACGTTATCTACGTGTTTGGCGTATCCTCACAGAAAATTCCATGTAAAATCTAACAGTATGGTCTTCAACATGTTACATAAATATCGTCAAGACCTTTTTAACTTGATGTGCGTATTGCACACCGTGCGCGCTAGTTGACGACTTGTGGGGTTAGAAGCTGTGTCCGAAACCTTGTTTTCCTCTCTCTTTTGGTTCGAATGGACATGTATATTAGGTATTACTAAACTATCCCGCAGTTTGTTCGACGGAAAATGTTTCATGGGCGATACAAGGAGAATGTCGTTGGATACCGCGCATGGTGTGCAAGCTCACATATTGAGGTGCAAATAACTGGCGTACATGCTTGGATGTGTGCACTTTGCAGATTTCATGTACTAACTCGTTAATCGCCGTTATATTGCTGTTTACGTGTTCGACATGTCTTGTCGAAGAATCTGAACTTGAATGTTACTCGAACATCTTGCATACCTGAAGATTACAGTAGCATGTTGTCCCCTCGAGACCACAGTAGCGTCCAATAACCTTCAAAATATGTTACTGCGCTAGAATTCTCACAATCAACACCCGACATTGACACTTCACGCACATATTGTCAAAGCATTGACGTTTTTTCCATAGTTCAAGAGTGCTCACTTCAATGCTTCCGATACGTAATTGCAGACTTTTTTGCATGTTCGTCCTCTAGCTCATGCTATGTGGCAAAATTGGCTTGATCTCAATGGCTTTTTTTCATGGAAGTTCCATTCTCTTTATAAATGCTTGTGAAATTATCTTTCTGGGATAGCAATAATCAAGCATATCGGTTAATTGAGCACGTTGTGTGATTGCAGAAATGGAGGTAGTGTGATTGTGCGTGAAATGACAAGCAGTATATCAAGCAAGTTGTGCGAGTTTGCGTAGTATAGTCACAACTGTGCCGCAGTTGCGATGGGCGGGATTATTTGCAATAGAGGGAGCGTTTGACACAGTTTTAAAATAGATTTTTTTGTGTAATTTTACACTACTGTTATTCTACCATTCTATTTAGATGTCGCAGCAATGTGCAGCAGTGAAGGCATCACTGCTTCGGTGACGTTCGATCGACCGTTTAGCGGCAAAATTTACTCATTCAACTATGGAACTGTACATGAATGTATTTACTACAATGCACTTGATCTCGACACTGTTCTATTCTCCATACCTGCGCATCGGTGTGGGACCAGGCTGAGCCGAACGAGCAGAAACGTAGGTCTAAGCCTCGATTCTATTTATTTCCCTTTTTGTACCTTACCCTGTGACAGTATAGGCCAGTAGAGCCAGTTTGTATACTACCTGTGCGGTGCCGAAGACCCTTGCGCGTAAACGATAATCATGGAGAGCAAAAATGAAGATTTACATTCTATGGCCATTTACATGAGCAAATCGGCGGCACGGGCTGATAATCCGACGCGCGAATGCTGTCAGCACCGCAACGGCACTATATGGAGCTCCAAGTCCATAATTTGTGATAACTCTGGCGACGGCAGTGTTCGCACGTGCGCAGATCAAACGCTTTTGAGTCGATGAGAAGGATATAAACCTGTGCTTCATGTCAGCGACTCAAAGGCGTCATGCTATGCAGCCGTGCTTGTTGTGTGATGAGAACTGTACAGCATCTCACAGCATTTCGCGAATTCTAATATCACACTAATTATAGTGCGTCCCTTTTTTTTCTTCTGAGCGGGCAGCCCTTTGGCTCCAACGCCTATGAGTCGCTGCGCTTTGTACATCTCCTATTTGAGCATCGAAAGTGCGCCCTCACATGCATTCTCTGCTTGTCCGCCTGTAGACCATGATTTTTGACGAAGAAAATGAGAAGACTTATCTTCACATCATCTTTTGATAAAAATTACCATTAGAATTCCTTCATAATTTGTTTTCCAATCAATGCGTTTTTAATTTTATTCTTCGACTGAAACTCCTCCGCCCTTTCAAATTTCCGAGAATATCTTCTTCTTGAAATTTTTGTTGTTTTATAATTGTTTTCTCTTTCTCTTTCTATCCTCTTCTTCCGTTCCAACGCTGCCACTCAGTGACCTTCTCAGTTCTAGCTTGTTGTTGTATGTGGAGGTAATTGCAGTGCCTGTGTGCATGCGTGCGCACACACGTCAAAGGAAATCGAGAAAATTCTTTTTCGAGGGTTAACTTCCGCGTCAGTAATTTGCAATTATGATGTAACTTACAAGGAGAGGATACTTGGTCGAAAGCACCAATCCACATGAGACATATATCATCTTAAAGCGATTGAAACGCTGATTCCAAATCTGCAGTTTCAGCTGCGGAGCGGTTTTGTGGAGGGAGTTATGAGGGGCTCTCCACCAGGTCTCCCCCTACCTATGAGCACTGTAGAGGAGTACCAACTGGTGGCAACTGACCTAGTAGTAAGTGACGTGCTTGATAAAGAAAGTGTCAAGGTTTTAATCCCCTTCGCCTGCTAAATTGAACTTCTAAATGACTTTAGAGCCCCAAAGCATGAAACTTCTGATGATATTGATACTATCGAAGTTAGAAGTGTTAAAAAACCAAAGTAATATGAGTATTATAATCTTTACTGTAATCTCCATTCAAGTTACTTACATTAGGTCAGTTGCCATCAGCTGATACTCCTCTACAGTGCTTACAGATAAGGGGAGACCGCTGGAGGACGCCTAAACCCCAGAGGGGAACACCGTTCATAACTCCTTCTACAAAACCGCTCCGCAGCTAGAAACTTCAGATTTGGAACCAGCGTTTCAAGCGCTTTAAGATGATATATGTCTCATCTGGATCGGTGCTTTCGACTAAGTATCCTCTCCTTGTTAGCAGTTCCTCCAATAATTGTTTGCATTCCAACAAAACATGAAAGGCGTGTCAGCACAAAGTAATGGAACTTTTTGGGGTTACGGTAGATGTACGGTAGTTAGCCATTTTTCTTCTGGCTGCTGAAAAGAAAAAAACAAAATTGGAAAAGCACGAGCTTTCGAATTTCTAGCGTATTTGTATAGTCCATAATTCATTTTGGTGCAAATGCACTAACCTGAAGATGGGGTAGGAGTATGTTCGCAAAAGTGCGAATGTTTGCACAAGCAGCACTAAATTGAGTCTTTGTTCAGAACAATTGTTGGCCTACAAATCGTGACTCTCTTTGAAGTCTTGTGAGGATTATTTACAGATTGCTGGGAGCATCTTGTCGCTCTATCCTCGATAGACCTCTATTTGGCTAAGCGGATAACACTTGACCTTGTACTCGTTAGTCACACAACTTGGCTGGAATTGCTGAAAGATTTGAGAGGTTTGGTGGGGGAGGGGGAGGGTAGTATAGGGCATACTTTTTTGTCACTCTTCCAGAATTATCTATCGTCGAGTCATTCGTAGCTTAATATATGAGCCTGCACACAAAGCGTTTCAACGGACGGCACCCTTAGCATTAACTTCTCGATCAAATCTTTTCTAGCGTAACAAAGTGTAGAAGTGTATACTACTAACTAATTAATATCCTTTCAAATTAAAATAGGCAAAGAAACAAGGCGAAGTCGCTGAAATAAGCAGGTTCCAATCTTCTAAGTTCGTCAAATAGCGCGTATGGTGTGCAATACGCATATTAAGTTACAAATGACTCGAGCATATATTTCTAAGGGTTCTGGAACTATTTCCTATCAATCGAAACTCGTTGCACATGGTCGTTGATTCGCTAATAATTGACGCCTTGACGTAGCGGGAATGTCAAGGTCACAGTGACATTTCCGCTTCATACCCGAGGCTGTTGAACGAAAGACGAATCTACGCAAGTTTAGACATTACAGTAATCTAGCCATAACCAGCTTTCAAAAACCCGCCTCTAGCAATGGAGCTAAGTTGGCCGAACAGTCCACGTTTAGTCACATTTCTATATAATGCGATCAGTTTGGGGAAGGAATTTTCTCGAAAACTGCCAATTTCATTTCGATGATTGAAATCCAAAACCGAATATACAGGTCATGACCGAGATCTGTTCTTTTGTATACGGCATAATTGCCCTTCCTTGTACTCGGGAGCATAATCAACGATTCGCGGGCGTCAGCGAGCTCCTCCCTTACAATTCATACTTACAAGGGAAGGATGATCAGTCGAAGTGGGCATTTGCGATGATTTCTATACCATGTTGGAGGGCATAAAACGCTGATTCCAAATCTATCTTCCTTTGCGGCGCATTCGTGCACGAGAAGTTATGAGCGTTTATTGAAGAAAAAATTGAATGAGCAAATAACATAAAAACAGTAATAATATTATTCCTAGCGCTTAAATGGACCAGTGGTAATTTTTCCAGCAATCTATAAATTAGATACTCTTAAATGAGGTAAATCCGCACTCCGGCTGTCTCATTTCAAGCGTTGAGAAAATTCTAGCAACTGTTTTTATTCCAGAAAAACACTCTTTGCATCTTTAAACGCTCATAATTCCTCGTCCAGAAATGCGCCGCAGATAAGGAAGACAGATTTGGAATCAGCGTTTCATGCCCTAAACCACGGTATACAAGCCATCCAAAAAGGCCACTTCGACCAACCATCCTTCCCTTGTTAGAATGCTTCGATAGGTTTAAGAATGGAAATATGATTTGACTAGGAGGGAGAAGTAAATAATTGTCGAGATTCGTTAAGACTATTTGTTCATTTACTTTTGAAGCGTAGGCATCAGTATTCCTTGAGCGCGGAACGGTAGTTTTGGTTTGTAGTTCTCTGAGGTACAATAGAAATTGTTGTTTTGAGGTCCGTGAAAAGCTTGCAAATTGATATTCATTTGCTATATATTTGCTTGCTTTCATCAAAGAGAGTGAGCCGGAAAATCGGCGATTGCTCTATTTTTAAGAATTAATTTTTTGATAAGGAGAGTTCTAAAAGTGAGAGCGTCAGGATTTTTGGCATAATCTGTAAGCGTACATAGCTGACGACACGCATAAGCTTTAACGTCGTAAAAATTTTCTTTCTCTCCGTTTCCCTTTTTCTTTAGTCACCTTGAATGATATTCTCTCATAAGCGAAAACGGTTCGAGCTTCTCAAATTTTTTTTTAGGAATTTGACTTCATTCTCTTTGAGCATGAAGTTTTGACGACGGTACTTCAAAACTTGTACAAGTTAATGACTGAGATTGTGAAGAATTTTTGTTGATGGAGAAATTAAATACTTGCCTGAACGTAAAAACTGGGAATTAGTTATCGCTTAATTTTTTAAGCAATGGAAAAGAACATTCCATGACTATCGAGTGATTTAATTGCTGGGCTTACTGAATTTATTTTTAGAACTATCTGGAGTTATTGAACTGTATTTGAATAGTGGAAAACCGGTTTATTCGTATACCTTATTAGGCTTCTTGAACATTAACCTTTTGAGGAGGCAGCCATCGGTTTCTTTAAATCAAATTGGGCGCAAAGTATTGAGATCCACTGATTGAAAAACGAGAACGAAATTGGTTTGACCTTAGTCTTTCACAATTATCTTACACTGATTGTAAAAAGAAGTTTGAAAGCGCTCAGCCAGCTTTATCTAACAAGTTTGAACTTACTCCTTCCCTGATTTCTAATGGTAGACTTTTGCACTAGGTTAATCTATAAATACTAACTCGCAAATAAGCCTGTGGGTAATGAGATAATATCCGGAAGATTTTTCAGCGATATTTCATGTTGCAATGCCACGATACACGTAATGCATTCCAGATGGTGGATCAAATGGAAAATCGGGTTTATGTGCAAATGGAGAAGGACGCTCAAACGTCATTAGATCGGCAATTTTTATTCGTATGCCAGCTGGCCGATGCTAAAGACGAAAAAGAGAGGAGGTACCGTATGATTGGGGAAAAGAGATTTCTACTCTCAAGCTAATGTTTTCTTAGCAATTTGGTGTCGGTCCGTCGTCATCCGGTTGGTCCTACTGCAGACAGTCCTTACGTGGTACCCTCAGGGGCAGAGGCGCAAATGCCTTTCTTGACGAATAACGCTTTGGAACCAGTGAATAGCGTAAGCGTGAGTTGATTTAGTACATTATTGTCGTTGCAATTCCGCTTACTGTGCAACTGCACAAGTATTTTGAATCTTTCGCTGTAGGCATTGGAGCGCGCTTACTTGTATGTTCCTCATAAGGGAACTCAATAATTTTGTTGCTGACTTACTGCTTCGCAAAAGAAATCTTCTGCATATCATATAAGAGCCAAAATGATTTAGTCACTATGTGGAATAAACTAGTTGTGCAAATGCACAAGTGGAATTAGTTTTGAAATAGAGTATAAACGTCAATATTGCGCATAAAAGGCAGAGTTTTATTTAGAACAGTGTTCCACGAGTATCTGCGGTCTCTTCGGATGGCCATCTGGGTAATTGGCCCATCCCGGGATCTCGTCCATACACACCAAATGTTCAACCAGTGGCAAGTTGGCCTAAGATCCCACTCCCAGATCCCATCATCCCGACGAACCGTGCAGGTCCAGGTATGTTAGAATATTGAAATTTTTGGTAATTTTTACACCTTTCACATGATTTAGGCAATAGTGCCACCATTGCCTTGTCAGAAGGAGGAGGAGTTCGAGTTCCGGACGAGTATCCCAATGTCCCGAAGTTAGCTCCCTCTACGACTCCACGAAATCCATTCCTGCCACCACCTTCACCTCCTCCCACACCAGCACCAGCCAGTCCTATCATCCCAGCTCGAGATGTGCCTCGACCTGCTACAGGGCTTTACGACAAGCAAGTGACTGTTGCTCAGCGTCCCGTTGAGCCCATAGAGCCCGTAAAGACCTTTTTCACTCTGAAAACGCCTATAGAGATCGTTCGCCATACGACAAGTGCCATACCAATGATCCCAGCTTTACCCGCATTACCCGCTTCAACCCCGAATCCGCGACCCGGGACAGAAATGATTGTGGGTGTTGGGTATGTGCTTCCAGAATCTGTGCTGGCAAGAAATGAGATTGATGCGGGAGTTATTGGTAATAAAGTCATGTACAGAGGCAAAGCTACAGAAATTCCTGCATTTCCCTGGAATCGACCCATCCCTGCATCTACGGAATATTCACCCAGAGCTCAGGATAATGTCCAGAGAGCTCCAACAGCCTTTGACAAAGAGAAGAAAATGAAGAATGATACGCAAGGTGCCAAAGTGTTTATCGAAGAGCACTCCAATGTGGGCGTTGATTTTCGAACCGATGCTGGTGAAAAGGTTGCGTCGGCGGAGAGCGAAGAGTAAGTGATTTTCGTTCAGAGTCTAGTCTTCTCAGATAGTTGGAGCGTGCGGCGCACGTGCGTTTATGCTCAATGCGGCAAAGCGCGTGCCTTATTTATGGGCGTGTCCGGCACTACGCCAAACGCGTGCCATCCTAGACATTTGGTGCGTGCGGCGCGCGTATTAACTGCCAACACCGCGACCCGCGCGCTATATTTATGTTCGATCTCGCCACCCGCGCGCCTAATTTTGTAGCACGCTGCGCGCGTGCCTTTATACTCTACCCGTGCGGCCCGCGCGCCTGCAATTATCACATGCTGTAAGCACAAGGGACACCCGCGCAGTGTACGACGCAGTGGTCAGGCTGCTTCATCATTCAAGAGGTTAGATATTACGTCGTAGTGTATGAATAGTCGCAGAAGTGGAAGTTATTCTTTGCTTCCAAGCGTTAGCCCTCGGTAGCATTGCAAATGGATGATGAATCTGAGTTCCTGGATTCAAATACGAATTCATATTTTTGGCGTATGAAGAGTGGAATTCATTATCGAGACCTGTGGTATAAAGCTGAAGAAAAACTGAAGAAAAAAAAATGCAGCCATCCGCGGGCCAGCGCCAGCGGCGCGGCATCCAATTTCCCGCCACCCGCGCACTGGGTGTTGCGCCACCGTGTGACTGCGCGCGCGCTGCCCGCTCCAACTGTCTGAGTTGGATAAAGGCGGGTGTCCATATGAAGCAAGCGTGGCGTGAACGCGACGCGCCAGCGAACCTTGGCGAGTGAGTGCAACTCGCGCACTTCAGTGATAATGGGCGCTACACCGCCGCGTTCGCACCGCTTCGCAATGAACCATTTGTCCTCGCCCAAGACTGGACCATACCAATGTAATTGAGTAAAATTTCATGTTGCAGTTCCCCAAAATCTCGCCTCATCTCTACGCAAGAATATCTGGCACCGTCGCCAGAGATGTCTCTAGAGATACAGCAAGGTATAGGGCCATATGCACCGACTGTCACTGGTCCTGTGAAAATTGGCGACAACATTACATTGGTGGTACGGTCGAAAAGTCAAATGAAAGGTGAGCTAATAGCATTTCTCCATTTGTTTTTGCGCGAGTCGCGGAGCATTTTACCACGATGTACATAAACGAAAGTCTTTCTTTCTTATTTAATCCGGGTGTTACTAAAATAAACGCACTGGTGTATTTATATAAATAATTTTATTTAAAAGCAGTTTTAAGAGATAATTTTGAGAGTTCATAGTAAGCAAAGCTAGCGCGATTAGTGCAGCATTTGCACAGCACATGCGTGAAAATGCAGCGCTAGTCGCGCCCAATAATTTGCCCTTCGTGTACAGCGTACTCATAGATGTTGTTTTCAATAAATCTTTTTCTTTTGTTTAAAGGAGAACAATTTTTATATGTTAACCTTTATTATAGGCGAGGATGCGTATGACATGTTTGTCCATTCATGTTTTGCTTCTGATGGACCTGGAGCTACCAAAATCGACCTAATTGATAGAAATGGGTAAGTTAGCTGCTTCCTTGGTTATACTAAACTTGAACATTTTTATTGTTTAGGTGTGCCCTTCGACCACAATTTGTATCAGAAATGAATAGGACAAAAGATCCTTCTGGAACAATGTTTTACTTCTTCCGCATAACAGCTTTCAAGTTTCCTGGTCCGGATGATGTCTATTTCTCATGCTCTATAGAGATGACTCCACTGAGGAATGCACCGGTAAGAACAACTTTATGAAGGGTAGAGGACGTCATTCCCGACAAGCTCCGCTTAAGCGGGCATCTGCCACAAAACTTTTGCCTCAACACATCACAGTCCGTAACTGTTGTCCGCGCAGGCAGAGCCTATGTGCAAGATATCGTTCTCTACTTTTTATGCAAGGAGTTAAATACGTTGTTCCGTACTCATGGTAGAGGATACTCATTTTTAGGAAATTTGTACATCATCTCGACGATATTCGCGAGAAACATCACCGCAAAATGATTTGCGACTTTTTGACAGTGTAAAAGTAGAACTTGACGAGATATTTGAAACACAGCGAAGAGCGGCAGGTTTGAAATTGACTATCCATTTTTTCTAATTTCTTTTTTCTTACTATGTCATGTTTTTTATAGAGCTCGATGAAGAAATCTGTTTGTCTAAGTCACTGTCTGGCATTGTGGCCATACTTTTCGCCACACTATTGGTTGCTTTCATTAGCTCATCGTTCCTTGCCATGTCTTTCTACTTGAGACTTTCGGATCGGGCGAAAAATACGATTTATGCACATTAATAGCGTTATTTGTGTGGAAATCTATCTAGTGTACTGTCTCAGGTACTATTACTTTACTTGGTAAGCTTTAGTGAGTTTGCGGTGAATATGAGCTTTACATTGGTAACTGCAGTGCATTTTACGTACCCTATTTACCGGTGTTTTTTTTTGTTTTTAGTGTTTAAAACTGCTAGATTTTCTCTAGCACAATGTTCAGATTCTATTCAGTGTCTTTGTTATGTTGTACAGCATAAAGATTCTTTTCTTCTGTAAGAAAATTTCAAATTACATATACGGTATCTAGATTTCCCTAGAACAAAATCTTCAGAAACGGGACTTGCGGAGAGGATGGGGGGGGGGAGGATAATGGGAAAGTGGAACTTTATGAACATTATGAAGGAAACACGTGTTCGCTGGCAATCGTTTCGCGGCTTCTTGTCGCCAAGAAGCTCTCTTGTTGGCCGAGTTGTACCAAGGGGACCAGTTCTCGTCAAAAGCTTCACTGCAGTTCTTGACAAAATATTCGGAAAACTTTATCGTTGTACGATAAATACATATGCAAACAAATAATTTTTTTGAACCTTGTAAGGCCACCCATGATTCGACTCGTAATCTACCCATACCGTATCAGCATTTACCAAGCATAGTAAATATCTTCACAGTCTACCTCTAGGCCAGGTACAGCAACGCTAAGCCGCTTTTGTAGCTCAATATGTGCTTTATCCTGAAAGGAACCATTGTGAAAAAAAAAGCATATTGTAAAAAATAGGAAATCACAGTTTACCTGAAGAAACTGTAGACCTCTCAAAGTGCATTGTCCTGCAATTTCAAGTTTCTTGATGAACAACTTCTTCTTTCGTTTTACGACCTTTTTTACCTGTAAAGTTCAAACTTCAAAAAGTCCCACTATATAGCCCTAGTGCGGCTCCAGCGAGAACTGGTCCCCGACGTGTGCAAAAGCTAAAATGTCTTGAAACATTTCGGGGACCAGTTCTCGCTCAGTGTTTTAGCTTCTTAACGTCAGGAATGCCCGGTCAACAGATTATCTATACTACTAACACTGACTCAAATAAAAAAAAAAACGGGAAGCAAGTAATGCTTACAGTTTTCTTCGTTCCATCATTCTTCTCCAGTCCGATACCAGCAACAGTTTTACTTCTCTTCACGGGCGGTACTGCCTTCTTCCCATCCGCTGATACTATCTGAAAAACTGATTAAAGAATGTAATTCTCAATGTCGCTTGCTTCTTCGGACCTGCTTAGCTGTTAGTTGTATGCTGCTTATAAAGTCGTCAACATCAATAGTACAGCTGCTTATTCTCAGTGTGTCGATTGGATGAGCAGTAATCGGTGTAGAGCCGCTAACGACTAGAGTCCAATCCCTAAAGAACAAATTAGGATGGAAAGTGGTCTTCGTGGAGGAGCAGAGTGTTTTTATTGGCCACTACGTAGGATCTAACGAAAAAAGTTATTTAACACGTGAAATATAAAATGTGCAAGCCCCGCCTCCTGTGCAAGCTCCGCCCACTCCACCAAATTTCAGGGACTCATGCGCTGCAACTTTTAAGAAGTGGGCGGACTTGCCACTAAGGGGGCGGAGCTTGCCTGACGGTGGGCGGGGCTTGTCCCAAAGTTACTCAGGGTCTTTGCGTTCATCTATGGCCTTATTTATGTTTTTTGTGCCTTGTGAGAAGCATAGAAGTGGGCGGATTTGCTAAAAGGGGAGGCACTAGTATATAAAGTGCATCTGAGCCTATGTTGATTATATAAACACAGACTAAGAGGACTGAACAGGAGGTCGTATTTAGATCAAAGCCGCCGCCCGCCACTGCGCAGCGTCGTCCGCGGGGACAAACTGCCTGCCGCGCGTCATTGCGCAGCGTTCTCGTCAAGTGTTAAAGGTGCAGTGTTAAGAAGACCATGCGAATTATGCCATACCCACCTCAACGCAATATTCTTCGCCAACAGTTCTCTTTTCTGCATAATTTCGTAGACCTGCTGTAGCCGAAGCATTGGTAGATCAAATTCTGTGCATATTATCTTAATTTTGTCAACATTTAAGGCATGTAATTCTTCTAGCTGGCTGATTATCTGAAAGTTTCTCAAAATTGGCCGCATTTTTCATAATACTTTCAACCATGCCGCATTTTGCGCAAAGTCCCGCCTCTTTAGGAAGGCGGTTCATTCTGCAAACTGCGGCACGGCATGGTATGAAACTTACCATTTTACTATTGTCAGCGTGTAGTTCAAGATGTAACGACGTTTTCGGATAACGTAGCATAAACGCTCGTACTACGGTAGCCACATTTTTGTACAAACCCGCCATGACATGTACTTGGAACGTCAATTTTGTGATTTCCTTGAATAAACTGTAGTTGAAAATGTCAATATTGACACAAGCAAAGGTTGCCACTCGCCGCTTACACTGAATAACATTTCTTCAATTCGTAAAAACCGTTCTATCACTTCATCGGTGCACGCAACAACGAGTAACCATAGCTCTTCAACATTAGAAAAATATCTGCGTCTTGCGTCTTTGTTGACGTAAACCTGGATAGCGGCACTTCACTGCGAACAGAAGTTAGTATAAACATATCTTACGTACATATTGTAAGTTTCCAAGAAACTGAACGTCTGTTGTCATGCGCACGAGCGATAATCGGGACCTGAATAAGCATATTTCAGAGAAAATAATTGTCACCGACTTGTTATATAGTCTGTCTCAGCTGTGATGTCACTTTTGCGTGAGAACTACGCATGCGCAGCGCAATACCGTGCAATCCGACTTTTAATCGATAAAACCGACCACGCCATGTGTCTGTTTTTGCAGTCGCGCACGCGTCGTGCCGACGGAAAAGAGACAGAACAAATGAGAAGTATTTATAGCTGGTAAAGTAGCTCTGACATATGTGTAATTGCACAAATAAAATGAGTTTAGACCTGTACAAATAAAGCTAAATTACTGTTTGTATGTATGTCTGTATGTATCTGTGTATATGTGTGTACGTATGATCCGATTAGATTCTAATTCTAAACCGATACGGACTAAACGTGGCACACATATGTATACTTTGGGGAGGGGCTGGTGTCGTAGGATGCTTTTCGTTACTGATCGATATCGATTTTATCGACTTTTTGCCCCGTAAAACAAGAAAAAACAAATATTTTGAGCATCATTTCATGCAAATTTCTTCCTCCTTCCAATAGCTATGCTCTCGTTGCAACTCTGCCAACAAGCGCTGAGATAATCGCCAAAAATTACGACAATTTCGTATTACCATTTACGCCTGATTTACGCCACTTTTCAGAATTTTCATCTGTGATTTTTAAAGGTGCTTCGATGGCCAGGCGATAGAGCAATCCTTTGCAAACGAATGCAATTTCTTGTATCTCTTTAGCATGCTTTTTAAAACAACTCAAATTCCGAACTGTTTCATAGACCACAAATTGGTAGACAGTCCAGGTACCATTCGATGCATCTTTCTTTTTTCCTAATAATCGTTTGTTTTCGTTGCAATGCATGATTTGCAGAGAAAATCGCTGTTTTTCAATTCCAAATTTACGGCTGCGCACTGTTGTACCCTATTTGCTTATTTACGTACCAAAATAAGTAATAGTAACAATCAAATTTTGAGACCTCGATAATTTGGAAGTTTGCGATGTTTGGTGCAATTATATATTATGCGATTATGCGATTTCTTCATATTTCATACTCTTAAAAAATTAAGTAATATTCTGACAGGCATGCTAGAAAAATACAAAAAATTGCATTCATCTGCAAAGGCTTGCGCTATCAGATGGCTATGAACACCTTCAAAAGTCACCAATAAAATTTTCTGAAAATTAGCAAATAATAGGTCTATAAAAGTGAGATGTTGTAATCTTCGGCCATTATCTCCGTGTCCATCATTGAGTCGCATCGGAAACATGACTGTGAGAAAGAAAAAGAAATGCATTGAAAACTGCTTAAAGTATTTGTTTACCCTCACTCTATGGGATTCGAGGATTGGTCGTCCAAGAAACGGAAAGAATCTCTGCACCGACTTGATAGATTTAAACTAGCTATTTGCCGTTACGCCCTCACGTATGGGCCCGAAAAATGTCGGAAATCACCCCGAAATTTTTCGGAGGAGTGGTTCAAGCCACGCACTTCTTTTGAATAGAATCTCTGTTAACTCAAAAAACTCTGGAGACCGCTCGGCTACTAGGAACATCGATGATACTGATTTGAGATTCTCAATAAAAAAATAAGTTCATCTTTTAATTGAACTTTACTTATTCATAGGTCGTAAATCAACATTTACGTCATCGCTCTGCAACTATAAATGCGGCCTCAGCAGCAGTGCTCCGATGCCTATGAGTCATACGTCTATGAGTCATAATGTATACATAAATCTGCTACTCTCTTTCAATGCATTTTCGGTAACGAACATGTCAGACGAATGTGTCATAGAGTTGGGAGACCGAAACAATGAAAAAAAAAACACTGCACGATAGATGTGGATTTCCACACCCATTTGGCAAATAACGAAGTGTCCAAGCTCTTCAAAAACTACCTCCTACTGCTTTTTTATCCCCTTACACTTTGTTAATGAATTAAGTGTCGAAGCGGATGAGAGCCAAGCAAACAACCACTAACCTTCGAAGAACACCGGCCTCAAAATCTAACTCTTTCGCAGGACAAGTTACTGTCAATCGTCGCAACGGCACCACTTGACATACAGATAGTTCAGTGGCACCGAACTGGAATAATAAGACTGTGCGAAATTTTATAAGGTTCATAGTAAAGTCATTTGTGACGGGTTGTATGGGATTGCATACCGTGCGCAACTTTCGCGACAACTTCTAATGAACACTCACAATCAGAAAGAACCGTTTTGAGGTTGTTAGCTATTTGTTCCTGTTTGGGCTTAACAGGAGAATACAAAATAATCTTTTTGAATCATGAAGCTGTAAGCGCAGAAGTCGTGGAATGCTCTGCAAGCGGTGCAATACACAAGTTGAGATATGTGAGTCTGCACACTGCGCGCAATCTATTGCACCTTACTATTAACTCGTCAGTAAGACCTTTTTAGATGAACAAAGTGGGGAAATGTGTACCATCACCCTGACACATATCCGAACAAAGCAAAAGAGAAAAGACAGTGGGAGGAATAGGAAATCAACAGCTTTTAATCCTACAAGTCGTGAAGTAGCGTGCGTGTTGTGCAATACGCATATCAATACAAATGTCAACGATACCTGCTCAAATGTGATTTCGTGAATATTTCTTCGCATTATCAACATAACGATGTTCTGCCAACGTTTGCAGATACATTCGGCCCTACATAGTCCTCGATAGTCCAGATATTGAAATATCCGACGAAGAGCGATGTCCGGCAGATTTGGGATGATACGCCGCGGTGGACGCATCTTCTGCTGAGATTGAATAACTATGAATTGCGACAAACGCAAGAGCAAACGATAGCTTTATTGACCGTAGCGGAATGATGTCACCAACATGAAGTGGGCAGAAAGAAACTCAAAGCTATGTGGATCTTGTTGAGATGCTATGACAGCAGAAAAGCCTGAGAAATAGGAAAAGCTCACAAGAAATACATGAATCAAATCATACGAAGAACTGTAGAAGATTTCTTAATTTCTATGCGATTTTCGTTACATGTCGAGTTGGAACCAGGGCTCGGCACGAGGTGGCTAGATAAAAATGTAAAAAAAGGACGTCCCCCTTGACTTTTGGGAATTTTTACGAAGTCCCCTTTGACCCTCAACCAAATTTCCTCTAAAAACCTGAAAAATTCCCCAAAATCCCCCAGAAACATCGACTAAAAAAAAGGTCGCCGTCGCCAATTTTCCGTGTCTCTTCGGTCACAAAAAACGGGCGCTATTCCAGTATACCGACCCCAAAAATTCAAAATCTCGGATTTCGCTCAAACTCGGTATAAAGGGGTTATTCGACCCGCTGATGCCGAATATCACATCGATTCGTGCGATAGCGCCATTTTCCGGGGGTTACGGTGGGTATACGGTAGGGGGTGAAAATCACAAAATTCTCTGAAACTCGGTGCGGGGGGGGGGGTTATTTGACATGCTGAACACGAATACAATATTCATTCGTTACGGTGGCCCTCTTTCCGGGGTTACGGTGAGTATACGGTAAAGGGTCGAAATCACAATTTCTGCTGAGACTTCGTGTATGGGGGTTATTTGACATGCTGATCACGATTAAGATGTTTATTAGTCCTCACTCCGAAGTTATAGTGGGTATATAATACACTACCGCTAAGGGGGCGGTCTCCAGCGCAGGGGGAATCAGGGCGGTCTCCAGCGCCGCCCTGATTTTGACTTTTCTTAGCACGTCACGCACGTCGCAGATTTCCTCCCCTTGCTTTGCTTAGGCAAAAGCCGCCGCAGGGTTTGTCGCGGACGGCAGTGGTCTTATGGAAAACAGTGTTTTAGACCCCTACCGTATACGTACCGTAACCCCGGAATGGGGCGCTACTGTAAAGAATGAATATCGTATTCGTGTTCAGCATGTCAAATAACCCCCCTGCACCGAAATTCAGGGAATTTTGCGATTTTCACCCCCTACCGTATACCCACCGTAACCCCCGGAAATGGCGCTTTCGCACAGAATCGACATGATATTCGGGATCAGCGGGTCGAATAACCCCCCTATACCGAGTTTAAGCGAAGTCCGAGATTTTTGATTTTTGGGGTCGGTATACTGGAATAGTACCCAAAAACGAAACCCCCTTTGCTTTTCGTCCCAAAAACGATATCCAGCTTGCTTGTAAGCCACCTCGTGCCGAGCCCTGGTTGGAACAAGAGATTGACAGCCATTTAACGTTAAGATGCCATTAAAGTGCGTTTTGTATATCAATACGTGATTTAATAAGTGAGGTTGCACACTGCGCGCGGCAAGCTACGGCCTTACTAGTAACTCGTCAGCAGAACCTTTTATAGCGGAACAAGCTGTGGAGATGTGCACGACTTACTACACCTCCAGATAATGGAAAGAGAGAAAAAACAAGGAGAAATCCTTAGGAATTGACAAATTCCAGCTTAGAAGTCGTGAAGTAGCGCGCATGGTGTGCAATACGCACATTAGGTCATAAATGGCTCGACTATAGCAGTTTTTGCTGTAAAGCAAGATTTTGCGGACAATGAGCCTAAAGTGAAGCGTGGAACGCATGCACTTAATTTTTTGAGACCGTTCGCCATTTGTTTATGCAAAATCAGGCAAGAAATTTTGATTTTTCCATAGCACTTTCTTCGATTTCAAACAAAATCTTAAGATTATTGAAAGAAAGAGTATGAATTTGCGAACTGAACGATTTTCGAAAAACCTGAAGGCAAAGCTGAACAGCTGTGCGATAAGTGCGGAGATCTCGATAAGCTCGCACGTGTCTCAAGTATAAGCTCGCTCTCATGCAAGCTCCACACACACGCACTCATCACGTTGTTTGCAAGTGGGGGTGGTAAACAGAGAAGAAAAGCAGGAAGAAAAACCGATTGTTGTTATTGTTATGCACATAATTATTACTCATCAACTGTCCGTTACTGTGAGAATCTGCTAATGTAACTTGGGAGGTAGCCCACTCTCAACACCAAATAATCGCGTGGTGAAGAGGCAGCAAATCGAAATTTTCTGGGAATGACTGGTGGTTTTCGACTGCGGCCGAACGATCCCGAAGCGGTTCCTATTTATTTAGCTAAAGCGGAGATTTTATAATCTGCGAGCAGATAGCGACCAGACAAGGGGCCTGAAAAACATGGACAGCTCCAGAGTCCCCCCCCCCTCCCGGTGCTATCCCATACGTTCTGCGAAACTTCCGCAAATCAGTGCTGCGAACTTTTTTTTAAATTATGGGCTTACGAAATCTAGTACTTGCCTCATAGTTATCAGCTGCACTCGATAGAACTACAGCCGCAAAAAAAATATACAAAGAAAGAGAGGTTAGGCTAAGAAATTATAAGTTTTATGATATCTACAAGATCACAAAAATGAGCACCAAGGCCAGTTTTCACTAAGCGATTACCATGTGTTCTGTAACCTGTACTCACTGCATGTGTATAGGCTGTATCAAACAGCTTCGGCACCGCGCTAGTACGCTTTGCGATGACGCACTATCGCATGCGACGTGGCTTAAAGGCAGTGTCCAGGCAAGACGGGGGTTTTGGAATTCCAGTGCCATGTGAGAGTGACCCCCCCCCCCCCCTCAGACACAACATCGCGCACGTGCGACGTCATAACGCTTGACCTAAAGCAAAAAAAAAACGACCGGAAAGTGGGGAAACTTACGCCTTGGAGCGGGGTCCTCCGAGCAGAGGTGCGATAATGGGAGCCGATTTTCCCCACCTTCACTTTTGAGTTGGTACAAGGTGACCATCTTCACTTTTGGAATGAAAAATTTTTTCGCTAACGATGAAGAAGGAAAATAAGCAAAACAAACGCAAAAAAGATTATTGAAAGCATATTTTTATGTATACGGCGGCATATATATTTAAAATAAACGTATTTAGTAAATGGTGTATTTGGAAGTAAAAGTTGGCGGGACTGTACGGATTTTATTAAGCAAATGTTGTCATAACGTACTGCGAAGAAAGTAGGTCGATCCAGGGGATAACCGCCGAGAACCAGAATTTTGAACAATAAAATGACGACAAATTATGCGAAACTTCCACTTTTATAAATCTTGCGGTTGAAGATGTCAGCAATTGCGACTTCATAGGTTTTGAAGAGTAGATGGTGCTCTATCAAATGGTGAAAAAATCGAGTGGATTCGAGAGATAGTCGCCGAAAACAGAATTCTAAAAAATTACGCCATTTTAGCGTGTTTAATGACAGCTGACAGTTAGACTCATATAAATTTTGAATGTAAAAGTGTGTGATGTTGCGACTTCGTGAGTTTTGTAGAGTAAGAGTTGTTCTATCAGAGTATGTCTTAGCCGTACCGATCCATTGAGATACGAGATTTAGGCTCTTAAAGAAACAGGTAAAAAACCGCGTTTTGAAGTTAAACAGCTCATAACTCCTTCAGAACTGCTGATTCATGTTGCGACTTCATAGGTTGGATTCTCCTCTTGAAGAGCTTTCAGATGATATATAATGTGGGGGGGGGGGGGTTCGCGCCTATCACGGCATATGCTCGGGGGTGGAGACTTTTCATCACAAAGTCTCTCCCCAGCCCACTTTAATGTATTGGATGGAGGCCGCCAGGGAAGAATTTGTGATGAAAAGTCTCCCCTCCCGGTCATAATTCGTAGGAGGCCCCAAATCCCCAAATATTATATATCATCTGAAAGCTCTTGATGAGAAGAATTTAACCTATGAAGTCGCAACATGATTCATGCAGTTCTGAAGAAGTTATGAGCTGTTGAAATTCAAAAGGCAGTTTTCTACCTGTTTCTTTAAGAGCCTGAACCTTGGCGGCTTTCAATGGATCGATACGACTAAGACATATTCTGTTAGGCTAGCTTACTCTACAAAACCTATGAAGTCGCAGCATCACACTTTCACACTCAAGATATAAACGAGTTTAACGTCAGCTGTCATTAAACACGCTAATATGGCGTAATTTTTTAGAATTCTGGTTTTCGGCGACTATTTCTCGAATCGACTCGATTTTTTCACCATTTGATAGAGCACCATGTACTCTTCAAAACCTATGAAGTCGCAACTGCTGACATCTTCAAACAACAGATTTATAACAGTAGAAATTTCGCATAATCTATCGTCATTATATTGTCGTTGTTATTATATATTCAAAATTCTGATTCTTGGCGGTTATTCCCTGGATCAAAATTAATCAATAAAATCCGTACAGTCCCGCTAACTTTTACTTCCAAATACAACATTTACTGAACACGTTTATTTTTGTACATAGAAATATGCTTTCAATAATCTTTTTTGCGTTTGTTTTGCTTATTTTCCGCGTACTGGCGGCAATGACCTGGAAGGTAGGCTCAGTCGACGTTAACGCTCCCCCCCCCGTTCGACGTTTTTGGAGGTGAGTGTCCGGCACTACCACCTTCACTTCAGCCGGCCAGTGGTAGCTGGAACAACCTTCGCTTTTGGTGGGCCCGGCTCCCCCCAACGCACCTCTGCCTCCGAGCTGTCCGAATTCCTGCTATGCGACAGAGTACGCATGTCGCCACAGTTAAAATGTAGGGTCCCGCAGCGACTCTGCGTCTCTGCCTTGGTGGGGACCGTCAAATTTCAAATTGTGTGGCTTTGAAAACGTGTGTTCTCGCTGTTTTCGCGTCTTCTAATGTGGATTTTCGGATTCAGCGTTGCGAATAACCCCAGGTAAGTGGATTTTCTGAAAATCGAGATTTTGCCCGGACACTGCCTTTAACGCGTAGCAGTACTTCGCGTCACACCGCACCGCCGCTAGCCGCTGCATGCGCGACGTCGTCGCAT